GCCTCGATCCTGTGTATCAATCCGTGAATCCGTGATTCCGTGACTGATTGGCGAGGATGTGGGCCAATCAAAATCGGGTTCTTTAGCTCCGTGGCTCTCCCCTGTCACGCAAATTTGAATGTGGGTTCGTTGTAGTATACGATGTTTGTCAGTTTGATTGATTCATTTGTAAGTATTGGTGGTGCAAAACCTTGCTTACTGGGCTTTGGCTGATGACCTTTGTTTCTGTTTTCCATCCACAGAAATTGTCGTGAACACCTGCCTTCGGAGAATCACTGTCCCCTGGTGCTTCCATAGCGTGCATATTACATCATAGGCTATCTCGCGCTTAGTCTGAATATAAGGCCGTAGTAATTTCCCTATCATTCGAAGGTCACCACCAAATTTCCGTGCTTTTTGGTATAGCATGGTGGCTGAAACACAAACTCTTATGGGGGTTCGCGCCCCGCTGGCATGTTTTCTGGGATGTCGCGCAACCGTTACAGATATAGTGTGACATTAGGTTGGCCTCAGCAGCTGGTCTATTTGTCAGTTCTTCGGGTGTATCACGCCACATCTGAAGCTGAGTCCTATTTACTCTTCTATCCCCGACGTCGTGGATTGTTCAAGACGGTAACATCTCGAACCATACAGACGTTCCCCCGGCAGTCGGTAACGACAAGCGGACCTTACCGTCAACTGCCCACCTTCCTCAACCCCATTCCACTACTTCCAGGATTCTGATGTTTCTTCTAGTTGACATTCGCGCTTTTCGGGAATTGTCGTGCCTTCCCACTTACCGTTTTCCGTCTAATCATTTCCTGAACGGCACACTAGTTTTTTAAGTTTTCCTCTCTTAGCTCCTTCAGAGCAGCGTGTTACTGACCACAACCCGATTTCCTGATCAACCGGAAGGCGCGGATATCAACCGTATATCAGCGTGAACCGGGACTTGCCTGTGGTTGGCCAAATGGAAGCACGATGAGCTATCAACACCATCGACAGGATCATTTCCCAGTCACCTTTGTCTACCAGCCACTCCTTGGTCGTTCACTTATTACGTTCGGTTAGACCGTTTGTTTGGTATAGTGTCTCCCTTAGCCGCCCGGTGCCCACCTTCTGCAATTAACTCCTAATCACTTCGCTCTCACAGCAAGGCCACTGATCGGTTAGAATCATTTTTTCCACCCCATGGTTGATGCATTACCCCTCCGCTGGTCGTCTTCGCTGGCCGCCTGGGCCCACCAGGACAAGTATTGTCATTATCACGATATATTGATTTCCGCCGGTCGTCACCGGAAAGGGGCCCATTACATCAACGGACCATAACTCGCCGATTTCTGAGACGGGGCTGAGTTCCATGGGATGGGTCGCCCCTGTCGTATTTTCCTTCATTAGTTCGCATCGCTTACAGGACACCACATAATGCATCACCTCACTTCCTATCTCGTGCCAATAGGCCTTCCGCCGAAGTAAGCCTTACGTCCTGGTGCACCCTGTGTTGCAGCTCGTGGCATTCGAAGATCAGCTTCCGTCCTAAGACGCGAGGTATCACGGGCAGCACATCATCAAAATCGGTGGCGTTCCTTGAAATTATGCCAGCTCCACTCAGACTCTGTCTATCGAAGTGACTCTAGAACGTTTCCAATTCCTTGTTTCCCCCCTCGCTCTCAGTATTCCTTCCATCCAACAAGGCGGTTGCAACCTTCCGTAACACAGGATCTTGCCAGTGGGTTTGCACCAAGCTTCCGGAATCCAGTTCGACGATGAGGCTATTTTCACCAATCATGATCTTGGGATCCTCATATTCAGCATCTGGTCTTGACAGCCAATCAGCCAGGTGGTTCTTCTTTTATAGCACTTACTGGATCGTGAAGTCGTACTTTTACAACCGGAGTGCCCAGCGCGCGAGCTTCCCGCGATCTCTGGTGGTCTTGATCCTTTCCATGGGTTTTTGATCGGTCTCGACATGAAATTTTTGTCCAAGCAGGTATGGCCTCCACTTATCCAGGGCCTAGACGATTGCTAAACATTCCCAGTAGTCGAGTACTTCTGCTCCGGGTTAGTCAATCACACGACTGGCATATTCGATAACTCCATTCCTGTGCTTTAGGACTGCGCCGATACCGCGGTCACTAGCGCCTTCTGCAACAATGAACATCCCTCCTATCCTGGGCAGTTTGAGAGTCAGTTGCTGATCCAACTTCCGTGCTTTGACACGTTCGGAAGCCTCACGTCCTCTGGTCCATTCGAATTTTCGATTTCGCCCGAGAAAGTCGTACAGTGGAGCAGCAGTCCTGTTGAAATCCTTAACAAGCCGACAATAGTATGCTGCTCGTCCAAGTAGCTACCTTAGGGTCCGCTTTGAATTGGGATCAACACAGTCCTCGATCTTTGCCAGTTTTTCTGACAGTGGGGTAACCTCTTCCTGACTATGCCCCACCAGTGCTACTGAACTCCTAGATATGTGCCTTAGCTCCATTTATCCACAGACCAGCGTCCCGGGTCCTCTTGAATACAGCTTGATGCTCTGATTCTGAATTGCTGTACACAGCGATATCAACTTTGTACACGACAACACTCTGTAGTCCCTTCGTTAGACGAAGCATCAAGCACCGGAATGTAAATGGTGCCCTCGATAGACCAAACGGCATTCTTCTAAAGAGATATTGGGTGTCTCCAACCGTTCGGAGAGACGGAGAAGGCGCAAGTATTCTTGGATGAGCTGATCAAAGTCATCCCGTCCTTTGGTATGCACTTTGCACCTACAAAGTGTAAGGTCATGCTTGTGGACGTGCAGTCACTGAACACGCCCCTTACAATCCAGGGAGAGGTACTGGAAGTTGTGGAGCGTTTTACGTATCTTGGAAGTTGTCTTGTTGTATGGCTGTGAGACTTGACCTATTCGAGCAGCGGAACTGAGACGTCTTCAGGTGTTCGACAATCGTTGTCTCGGAACCGTAGCTCATGTGGATTGTTGTCGGCGAATCCGTAATGAGGCAGTTAGAAAGCGCGTTTTCGGTTGTGTAACGGGTACTTCCATCAAAGAATGTGTCCAGCACCAGAAGCTGCGTTGGTTGGGACATGTGTTACGTATGCCGAACCATCGTTTGCCGAAGAGAGTGCTGTTTTCCATGCCCAACTCAGAGTGGCGTAAACAGAGAGGTGGCCAACCCTTGACTTGGCAGAGGAGTATGAAGGAGATCACGAAACGCTTGGGTGCTGTCGGTGCTACTCGCCTTCCAGGATGGGGACCGCGTGATCCTCACTGTGCCTGGTTGGAGACACTACAAGATATGGCTGCCAACCGATGTCAGTGGCGTTCTTGTCAGTTTCTATCCAGATTGCCTGAGTGAATGTCTGGAGGTGTAGGCACCTCGGAATGATTGTGGTAAGCTACCACTAAGTCCCTTCCGCGTCCACCTTTATTCTTTTCTTTATAATAAGGCTTTCAAATAAGTCATGGTTGTACGGCAGTGAAGCATCGGTGTTGAACACTGATGTCATGCTGTCGATGATGATGATGAACACCGTTCTCTCCCGGTCCTCCGTCTTGATAGGTGGTTACCAATTTCCGGAACGCAAGCCAAACACCGTGCAAAATCGGGAATGCTGGAGGGAATGAAAAGTCTTCTCAACTGAATGGACAGCTACAACACGATTTACGGTCAGTTCATTCAAACGTCGGAAGTCCACGCAAAATCGGTATTTCCGGTTTGCTTTCTTTACAGCACCACCGGGGGTTGTACGCATTATTAACTTCCTCGACTTTTCCATTTTTCAATATCTATTGAACTTTTTTTTAATGGATAAAGTGGCAGCGGACGGGGTCCGAAAGGTCGAAGACATTCGGACGAGCGGGGAATTTCGTGTTCATTCCACGGTTAGAAGCCAAACGGATCACCATTGCCTGTGAACAGTTCGGAATATTCCTCGATCACGGACTGTACTAATGGCACGTTACAAGAGGGTAGCTTTCGTGCATGCGCCTCGCTCACCGTAACCTTCAAGTTTGACTGCGCGATACTGCGCCACTCTTCCCCGCATTAGGCCAGCCACGGATTCTGTGCTCTTGAGAAAATCTGCCCTCAAAGTTGTCTGCTCTATGTCTGGGCTGATTAGGAATGCGTGCTGCACGGACTTGTCGCCTAAGCGCGTTGAGTGCATTGATAATCCGTCAATTTTCAGTCGATATCCATCCACTACTTTCACGGTTAGCGCGCACGGTTTGCATTGAGCTTCCTTTTCTCTGCGCCTCTGCTATACGCCTGCTCAATCAGGCATTTCCCCTCTTTCGGGCGAGATGGCCCAAGTGGTTAGAGCGCGAATTTACTGACCGGAAGGTCCGTGGTTCGAACCCGACCTCTGCCTCTCGAGTTCTCCTTTCTAGGTTTGGGCAACCTGGTAGTATCCCAGCTCTTGTGCCTCCTTCGTGTGGAATGCCAGCTAGGCACCGAAAGGGTGCTACAGCTGAACGATTTCTGAAAATATGTATCGTAGCCTGTGTCACTGCGCTAACCGCAACCCACTCGGGAAAAGAGGCGTAATCCAAAGTCTTATCATTTACAAGTGGTCGGGTACAACGACTTTGATTCCCGCAGTGGCCAGGCATGCCACACTTGTAGCATCGGCTGGTTCGAGCGTCCCTCCAGGATTCCGTCTTGATGGCTGCAGGCTGTCTGACTAGTTGGTCGACTTTGTTTTTCAGGTCACCCACTGGTAAATCATCCCTCTTCTCCTGCGATTGCATTGGTGCTTTGGCATTAGCGAAATCCAGCTTTGAGAAACGTCTGTCACCACTGAGCTTTTGAACACGTCTTCTGGTACTGGTAATCAGTATTGTTGAGAGTCTAACGTGCGTTTACTCCAGTGGAGTAATCACTACAAGGCGCACTTTGCCATTTGCCTTTTTAATTACAACAATAGGAGCTGTCTATGATGAACAGTTTACTGGCTGGATAACTCCGAGTTGCTGAAGACGAACAAGTTCATTATCCATGGTCGCGAGAGCGGTAAATGGTGCTGCATGCCTTGGTCTGATAATTGGCCTGGCACCGGTTTGGAGCTTGAGGCTTGCCTTGGTTTTGGTACGGCATCCAAGGCCATCTTGGAAGCAATCATCATAATCAAAGGCAGCAACATCAGTGTTGACACTGATGTTTCACTGTCGTAAAGAAGACACCGTAAAGTGTTCTGTGATGTCTAGTGAGGATGAAAATTTCAAAGCACTGTACACATATGGTAAAGATACATTAAAAAATTCAACTTTTCCATCCAAACAAGTCCAAGAATGTTCAAATCGGGGTATTCAGTGGGGTAACAAGTTCCTGAGAAATACACATTGTTGGATACATTACAAGCTTACTTGTCAGTCAGTAGTAGGGTATTGGCAGATGTACTTTGGGCCCGATGATTCGTGGACACAGGTTTTCCTATCAACTTTCAATTGGAACGTGAAATCACCGTGATGTGTGAAGCTGTGTCGTGCTGTAGACGGGTTCGGTTGTTGTTGATGAAAACTCTAAGGTATTCCCTTCGGGACTCAGATTCAACCTGGAATGCTGCAAACTCAAATGTAGACTTCGGACCTTTCTTGTACGGCTGCTTTGTGACTGTATTACTGACTTGACTGTCGACGCTCTTCTGGTTATGGACCTCGTGACTTTTTGGGTGAGGCAGAAACCCATGTGACCCCACCGATAACATAAATGGCACTGGTGCTTTTTAGATGGACAGAAACGTGTCGCTCACCACAAGACCGACACGATGTGTAAGACCTTCTCTCATGTGCAACAGTTGTACGTCTCACTGTCATGACACCACTGGAATCAGTAAGTGTTGACGTGTGCTGTACCATTGCAGTACTTCATGCGAAAGACATCGTGGTATCAGCCTAGTATCCGTCGCACCTAAGGTGCTCTCTGACATTATTTTGCGTAGATTGACGGATTGTCTGGAGCGACAGATTCATGAGAAACAAGCTGGATTTCGCCCTGGTGAAGGACGCATCTACTATACCTTTACCTTGAGACAAATTCTTGAACATCGCCCAACCCTTCAGACGTCCCACGTTGGTCGTTTTTCTCGATTTGAAAGCCTCCGATTTTGTCGATCGTCAGCAACCTTGGCAGTGTCTGGCGATCAAAGGTCTCTGTTATGAATAGAATGTCGATCCTGATTGAGCGCGAGAACAGGAGTGAATAGAGTAGAATTAATAACGCTTTACTTGTCTAAGAATAGACGTACATAAGCTGAAAGTGAAGGCGAAAGCATGGTTAATACAAAACGACAACGTGAACACAAAGAATATTCATGACATTCACCCGGGCCGTTGGATTGTGTGTAGTGAGAGATAGCTCGGATGAATGATTGTGAAAATCTAGTGACTAATGATAAGTGTGGTCATGCTTCTCGATTGAGGGATAGCTCGGATGAATGATTGTGAAAATCTAGTGACTAATGATAAGTGTGGTCATGCTTCTCGATTCCTTGAAATGTAGGACCGCGTACGCTGCTGGAGCCTGGCTAAATCAGAGATGCTAGATTCATATGTATTTGGAGATGCAGGTGCATCGCTCGGACACGAAAGTGAAACGGAAGTATGATCGATGTTATCTTCGATTTTATTGAGCGAAGGCGTGTGCAAGTCAGACAGAAGGGGTGTATGAACACCATTGCCTTCACTAGATGAGGTACACGGGAAATCGTTGACACGTGTGCAATCACCACAAGGAGCGAGATGGCAGACGGATACAGTGCCTTCTTTTCCATCGAGAGAACGAACGTGGGCGTAATGTGGGTTGCAATTTATAAGTTCGACTTCTTCAACGACGGGCTCATACTTTGAGGCACAGTCGAATCTTTTCAGCAAAACAGGACCTGGAATAATTAGGCAAGTTGGTATAGACAAACCAAACGACATTCAAACACCCGTTCATGTGGAGTAGCGTTTGTGGAGACACAGAGAAGGGGCCATATAGAGTGGAGGGCATGTGATAAGGCCGACCCTCATTTACAGATTTGAAGGCGTTTCGTCTTGAGTCTGAGCTGGATTGCGTTCCAGAGTGTCCCGACTTGCCCGTTCCCCATGGGGATTATAGGAAGTTGTTTGGCTGGTGCAAACTCTTCTGTCATATAGGAACGTGGATAGTTCGGCAGATCTGAATGAGAAGCCACGATCCGAATGCGCGTATGCAGGCTTGCCAAACAAAGAGAACAACTCACATAAACATTTAATAAGTGTAGACGCACATGTATCTGTGCAGGGAGAGGCAAACGGTGAACGAGGTAAGGAGATATCATCTTCGAGTAACAGAAAGGGAGGTCCTTTAAAATAGATGCTAATTCGTTCGAATGGTTAAGTTGCTTTGATGAGCGTAGCGGAGGGTGGTTTGGTGGTGGCACAAACCGTACAAACCGTACTTTGTGGTGATATCTGTGACATCTTGGAGGGAAAACGGTAAGTTTCTGGAAAGAACAAAGTGGTGCATGCGAGTAATTCCGGGGTGGCACAAAGAATCGTGATTTCCTTTTAGTTCACCATTGCCGATCACATTGGCGCATAGGTTACACGATTAGGTGTCAGCAACGAGATTGTCTTTTCTAGGTCTGTAACTGACATCGTAGCTAAAGACGGAAAGTTACATTTTCGATCGCTGGACTTTATCGTCCTTTTTATCTTACGTTTCTGCGACACACCATACATAAAAGAAACTGCTGGTCAGTGGTAAGCTTAAAGTGCTTCCCGAAGAGATAATGCTTCCATTTACGTATAGATTCAACGATGGCGGACGCTTCCTTCTCAATAACAGAGTGATTGTTTTTGCTCAGTGTCAGTGTTCTAGGAAAGAAGGCCACCGGTTGGCCGTTGTGAGTCAGAGATGCAGCATTGTCTATGTCTGAGACGTCCCTCTCGACAACCAAAGGTGCGTTGTAGTCAACTGTCACAACCATAGCGTTCTCTAACTCCTTAAGCTTTTCGAAGGACTGTTGCACACGCTCCGGTAAAGGAGAAAGTCCTGTTTCTGACAACCACACTGATTTTGTCAGAGAAGCATGGTATCCATTACGAATAATAACCAAATGTACGAACAAATCGTTGGGACTCAGCATTGTATGGATGAGGGCGTTGACGTATAGGGCTCATTCGCCCTGGATCTCGTTTGATAATTCCTATAGAGATTCCATAACCGAGAAGGCTTATTTTTTGGCTGCTATGATGCTTTTCTTTCAGTTAAGCTTAATTCCATATTTTTTATCACTTCATAGAAAGATTTGAAGTTTTGGTCATGCTCACTCTGGGTGGTCCCACAAATAGTGACGTTGTCGATGTAAGCTAGATGCCACTCAAGTTCTCAGTCTTGCTTATATGGTCAGTAGTACCGTAAAAGTATGCTGCTGCGTTGGCTAAACTGAAGGGAATACGACGGAATTGAAACAGTTCTCCGCGTACACGGTTTGCCTTTCTCACTGATTGGAACTTAATGGTAAGCGCTCAATAGGTCTAAGGTGCTAAAGACAGTATGACGGGAAATTTCTTCAATCGTTTTATCCACTCGCGGCAACGGATACTCGTCTAAGTGTGTGAACCGAATAATGGTTTGGGTGTAGTCAGCTACCATGCGTCTTTCTTGGTTTGACTTTTTTGGCCAGTACTTGAGCCCTCCAGGGAGAATTCGAGGGTTCAATTATACCTTCATCCAGTAGTCGTTTAACTTCAGATCGGATGAATCGTTCATCGTCAGGATTATAACGTCGTGATTTCGTAGCGCTAGGCTTGCAGTTGGGTGAGAGGTTAGCAAAAAGAGGTGTTTTGACTGTAGCAGCAAGTAGACCGCACAGGGCGAATTGACCTCGGTTCCCACCGAACGTGATTTCAACTTTGTTATGTAGACCAAGGAAGCCATGACCTAGCAGCACGTCAGCACATAGATTAGGTACTACCAATAGTTTGATTTTTTGTAAACAGTACCCCTGTAATCGATGGATGCGTAGCAGTAGCCTCTAGTTAAACACGTTAGAGAGGTCTATGCCATGGTTATCACAGAAATGTTAGCATATATCTTCCAGCCATGTTTACGAACCACCAGAGGAGATATGTAACTGCTCGAACTTCATGTGTCTTTGAGGGCCTGAAGCGATATCCCGTTCATTTTTACGCTGGTCAGCGTGCGGCACAAGCAGTTCGGGGCCGCAGTAGTTTGCAAGGAAGATAAAGCAGAATCCGTCGCGCAATTCGAGTATTTTTTGAATCGACAAACACACTGAAAATTGCCTGTTTTGCCACATGATTTACACACTGCTTCTCCCGCGGGTCATTTTGACCGTGGGTACCTGGAACGCAAAAGTACCATATCTGAGATTTGGTTGACGAGAGATATAGAGGTGTAGAATCAGGGGAAATTGAGTGTTAATGGGTAACTGTAGACGTCTAAAGGTGCTACAGCCGCAGAAAATGATATCGCCTGATTATGTGAGTGTGACTGAGCTTGTTTGTGGGCCAGTTCTACTGACCTAGCCAATTCATGTGTTTCGTCGAGAGTGAGTTCATTTTGAGCCAGAAGTCTTTCTGTGATGGTAGTAGACTGAAGTCCGTTGATCAGAGCATCACGTACACTTTTGTTTTGATGGTCAGTGGCGGACACCGCCTTGAAATCACTGTTTTTGGCCAGGGATTTAAGCTTATGAACAAACTGATCAACATCTTGACTGGTGTCTTGTTTGCAAGTTTGTAGAAGTTGGCGAGCATAGATCATATTCTTAGGATGAAAGTACAACTTTTCAAGTGTACTGATAGCGGATTCGTAATCTGGACAGTCAACGAGGTAAGCCTATGCAGATGCATCCACAAAATGGATCAAAGTTTCGCGTTTATTTAGATTACGCGATTCGACGGTTCCCGGAAACATTTGGAAGGTTCGGAACCAATAATTCCAACGCGTGGTTGCGTCAGGAGAATTTGGATCTGTGTTGAAATACTTGGGTCGCAGCTACGGTTCCATTGTGTTTCTAGACAAGTAAATTTTTATGAATAGAGTATCGATCCTAAGTGAGCGCGAGAACAAGAGCGAATAGCTTAGAATGAGTAGCGCTTTGCTTGTCTAACAATAGACATACATAGGCTGAAAGTGAAGCCGAAATTTTGGTCAATACAAAATGACAATGTGAACACAGGGCCGCTTCCAAATTTCTCTCCCTTACGATGGCACTGCATGCGAACTTTTGTGGACGCGTAGGAGTGTAATGGAAGCTCTCGCCTGAGTCCTTTACGTTCAGTTGTGTAAGGCAAGGTTGTCCTCTTTCCCCTTTCTTGTTCAACGTTGTTATTTAAATGCTGCTTGGAACATCTCTGCCTGTGGAAGCTCGGGAGGCGCAATGCTCCCGAGACGTTCCCTCACAGACATTGAATATGCGGGCGATATTGCTCTCCTTGGATCAGATCCTTCCCAAATGCAAACGATTTTAAATAACCCAATTAACTATTCCGCACGGCTCGGTATGTATTTCACACATGCAAAGTGTAAAGTGCTGCTACAAGACTGGGTGGGATCAAGCCCACATATGCTCCCTGGTCAGCCAATCGAAGTGGTAGATAAATTTGTTTACCCGAGAAGCTGTATAAGTCCCGGTGGACTGGCTGGAGATGAGATTGTTTCTCGAATCAGAAAGGCCAGAATAGCTTTTGCCAACCTCCGATACCTATGGCGCCGACATGACGTGAGTTTCTGTCAAGGGAAGAGTTTACATTGGTGGTGTGATCCATACTGCTTTATGGATTATAGACGTGGCGCCTACGCGCAAAAGGCATACGGAAGATCTCAGTACTTGATCATCAGTGTCTCCGAAGTACTGGTGACGTCTGATGGGAACATCGCATTAGTACTGTTAAGCTGCGCCAAATAGTTTTAGGAAGAAGGAACTCTCCCGCGATATTTGAATTACTCACGCCCCATAGATTGGGCTGTTTGGGACATGTACTCCACGTGCCAGAAGTCCGTCCGCCTGACAGAGCTCTTTTCTCTCAACCCTCTGCTAAGTGGAAGTGACCGAGGGGTGGACAGCGTATGACCTGGCAACGAACGACAAAAACACTGACCAGTAAACTTAGTCGGGTGGGCGACTGCCACCTCCCTGGATGAGGACTCCGGGACTCAAATCACCAGTGGTTATTGTTCGTTGGTGGAAATGGCCCAATCGCGCAGTCAGTGGCGCTCGTGCATCAAAGCTATTGCCTTCAATGCGTAACTACCCAATTTTCGAACAAACTGAGCACGCCTTATCTTTCAAGGCTTGGTTTCGTATCCCTCTTTCCCGTTTTCTGGTGATCGAAACTGTAACAGCTGGAACCAGTGTGCCTATGTCACATGGTTTATAGCTGACAAATTGAAATTTGCGGTGGACTCATTCTGGAAACTATCCTCGCAACGGCTCTACCATGAATTGAATGTGAGATCAGATGCTCGTTCGTAGAGAAATTCGGTAACAGTTGCTGTGATAAAATTGGCAAAGGACACTGAACCGCCAGTTTGAGATGGAACTGATATCTGAAGATTGATAACTTGAGTAAGAGACTGAATAAATCACAATTTCGATTGCTCGAACTGCGCTTGTTGCTGTTGGAGGACTTTTTTTCAAACCCTCAACTAAAATTGATATGTTTGAGTTCGAATTAGGTTCCTCTCGCCATTTGTTGTGGTCTCGTATCAAATATCAAGTACTTGAATAAGTACACACAATATGTACACATTTTGCACGCCGAAGTAGTGTCAGAACTGCATCAGTGTAACGGTGAGCCATGTCCAGCTAATGGTTAGAACCAGCGCAGAATATGATGTCTTCTGCTTCGGATCAAACATTATTAGGTGCTCCGTGCACTCATGATACATTTTACGAGAGTAAATCCACTCACGACTGGAACCCAGTAACCTATGATTCCCGAAAGGGTACAACATTAATCTTCGGACATATTAGGACGACGCCATCAGAATGAATCCATCTTTACTGAATATGTTGACCAGGTAAATTGTTTACTATACGCGACTCCTGTGAAATTCGTCCGTTCAGTACATGAATATGGTGACTTTGGTTATTGTACTACTTTGATTTTCGCATTCAAAATCTTTTATATTCACCACTGTGCTGTTTACTATTTCAGCTAATATAATTGTGCTGATCGGCAAACAAGGTCTATCGGACTGTTCACAGATTCTGATTGTATTCTACGCTCAACTGGAACCCGACTACTGAACATAACAAAATGTATTTCTAAAATGGGACAGTACATCTAGTGTCATTTACTGGATATTTTATCGTCGTACTTCTCTAATTTTCTGGTTTGGATATAATGATTCTTACACCACTGGTACTCTCCTAGTAGCACTTCGCCAAAATTCACCAACCATACATAATGGATACTGATGTGGAGAAACTGACAGATCTTTCTGCCGTTCTGCGGGTGAACAAAGAAATTGAAGACTATGAAGTCAGCCCTTCGTATTCCCTCTTGACTTGTCTGCATATAGATCTCCCTTGAACAGTCGATCAAAGCGCTTACCTCTAAACGACAAGAACTGGATAAGCGTGGTACAGAACTTGGATGCTCGTTGTATGTTTTTTCACGCACTTCACTTTTACTGTACCGCAAGACCTGATTTTACTGTTCTTCAGTCCAATGCCAAGAACTTATCTGGTATGATTGGATTAGCGTCAGAGTTGGCCATGGAGCTGAGCGGAAAAATCCGTCAACTTGATTTGGTCAAGGTAGATTTGGCAGACTAATACTTTTACCTTTATCTCTGCAAGAGTCGAGTAATGAACTGTGTCTCCAAACTCGATCACATCATCAAACTGAAGCAGTGTGCCAAAGATGCACAGTCGGCCCTAGATCAGGAGCGTTTCGAAGAAGTACTGCGTCGTATTCTTTTTTCATTTCTCCATTCTGAAGGCAGCTGCACATGTCAGTATATATCTGAACACCGAGCCATCCTTATTACAGCTGACCTCGCAGATAACATCTGGTAAGTTCTGAAGCTTTTTTTCTCGGTAGGAACGCTTTATTGAGATCGTATTCCCCGTCCAGTTTATATTTCATATTTGTTTTCAAGGCGACGTAAATCGCCTTTAGTTTTTTACTTTGAATGACAAGCCGCTTACGAGGTATAGAAAGAAGCCCCTTTTGTAGTTGTGTCGCATTCAAAAACTGCATGTCTTGCAGTGACTTCTTGTGTGTTCCAAGCAAATGCTGGCGCTTTTTTCTCGAAAGAGCATTGTGTTGAGAGAGCTTTCGACCGAAGAGGTGTGAATTTTTCGGGTCTGAGCATTCTGCGTTTGTATCCTCAGTTGTCGGATTAAGAAAAATAGAGAGCAAATATCCTTGTTGGACACAGCTGCTTGTAGAAAAACTTTTATAGCCTTCTCCGTATACTTATACACCCACAATCGTGCGCACACTAAGCGCGTAGGACATACATGTCTTTCTGGCTTGTACGGAAAAACCTATCATCTAACATAATCCGAGCCAGACTAGCAGCGATTGTGAGATGCCTGTGCGCCTGTCGGTCCTTGACCATCTGATGAGTATAAATATGTGGTTCACACAACTTCATCTAGTATGCAATCTCGCTTGATTTTATCGGTCCGTGTATCCTCATTCTGTTATAAGACAGTGTGTATGTTAGTGAGGAATGAGTGTCAAAGCTGAGGTTGATGTCTTATAATGATGACGATGCTGGTGCTGATGCGAGACAATCTAATGATAGATGGTGTAAGACCTCTCTACAACGGAGTGTCAAGCTAATGGTTCTGACCGCCATACCTCCAGCATCCTCTTTGAAAGGACAATCGTTCACCCCATCCTTTTGGCTGGGATAATCTTTTCCCCATGAAAAGCCGTTTGACATGCGGTGACTGAGGATTTTACCTATATCTTTAATAAAACCAGAGGTAGGTTGCCGGTACCAGTTGCTCGGGGGCGTTTGCTGAAGAGACCGCATATGCATGTGGAGCCGCCCGATATCCAAAGTTCATCGTCTTTCAATCAATCAATCAATCAATCAATCAATCAATCAATCAATCAATCAATCAATCAATCAATCAATCAATCAATCAATCAATCAATCAATCAATCAATCAATCAATCAATCAATCAATCAATCAATCAATCAATCAATCAATCAATCAATCAATCAATCAATCAATCAATCAATCAATCAATCAATCAATCAATCAATCAATCAATCAATCAATCAATCAATCAATCAATCAATCAATCAATCAATCAATCAATCAATCAATCAATCAATCAATCAATCAATCAATCAATCAATCAATCAATCAATCAATCAATCAATCAATCAATCAATCAATCAATCAATCAATCAATCAATCAATCAATCAATCAATCAATCAATCAATCAATCAATCAATCAATCAATCAATCAATCAATCAATCAATCAATCAATCAATCAATCAATCAATCAATCAATCAATCAATCAATCAATCAATCAATCAATCAATCAATCAATCAATCAATCAATCAATCAATCAATCAATCAATCAATCAATCAATCAATCAATCAATCAATCAATCAATCAATCAATCAATCAATCAATCAATCAATCAATCAATCAATCAATCAATCAATCAATCAATCAATCAATCAATCAATCAATCAATCAATCAATCAATCAATCAATCAATCAATCAATCAATCAATCAATCAATCAATCAATCAATCAATCAATCAATCAATCAATCAATCAATCAATCAATCAATCAATCAATCAATCAATCAATCAATCAATCAATCAATCAATCAATCAATCAATCAATCAATCAATCAATCAATCAATCAATCAATCAACCAACCAATCAATCAGTCAGTCAATCAATCAATTTAGCTGCTGTAAACCCTGTACCACAAGTGCGATTATTACATTTTTCATCTATGGAAAGCGGGATGGTGCGGGGCATATATCAAAACCTTGGAGGCGATCGCATGTTCAGCTAGTTCTGGAACTGAATGACTACGTATTGAAGGCCAGAGTTTTGATGCACTAGCGCCGCCGACTGTGCGATTGGGCCATTTCCGAAAGTGTTCATCGTCCTTAAATGTATCGGGAATCCGGCTGAGCAACGGCAGACGGTAATAAGTCGAAATATTGGTAGCCCGAGTGTGTTAATTTGCTGTTGACCGGGCAGCTGGTCTTGCGTGGCTCGGCAATCGACTGACGAACGTTTCGTCGACAGTGTGCGTTTGGATGGGCACGTCCTCCAGGTCTACGTGTGTCTGTATAGTTTCTAAAAGACATTTTACTATCTCCAACGAGGTTGGATGTTTGTGAATTGGCTTGCGTGCGATTTGATTGTTTTTACTCTGAATTTTTGTTGCATAGAGGTCTTATTCGCTCTCACTTGATTGATTCATTGCCATGTCTTTGTTCCGGTAATCCTACTTCTTTTATTTCTGCTGATCTATTAGCGCGTCCTTACCTTTACTTTCGGTCCGACTTCACTCCACTTGCGTCCAACTTTATGCTTACTTTTAGTGGTTTTTTTCATTTGCAGTTTGCTTGATTTTCAGAGTTTCAGCAGTACCATAAGGCACTATTCTGTTTTACGTAATATGCATTTGTTGTTCTATTCGACCTCCTAACTTGTTGGTTCATTTTATGCTTGGTGGTGTTGGCTTTGTTAGGTTTGATTCTCTCCGCTGAGTTTTGCGTTCGCTTAGTACCTACCCTGAATACATATGTAGTTCTGAGCTCAATAGTCCCGGAGTTCTTTCGTCTTGGTTACTTAGTAGAACTCAATGGATTTGTTGATAGATTTACACATAGATTCACCTTCTTCGTTTGTTCTTTCTTGGGTAAGTATATGGACTTGAGTCCAGTTGAATTCCTATCCTTCTTGATCTTGATTTGCGGAAACGCCTGGACAGGCCGCTCCCTTTAACAATGGCTTTCGTGTAGTCTGATGGATAGTTTCCCATCCATTTATCCCGCTAAGGGTTTGCCGCAGTCCTTGAAAATGATTTTGTATATAACCTTGACTTCCTTGGTTTCTAGTCCTCCGTTTGGTTTTGATTATGCCTTCCTCGGTGTGTTCCGAGGCCACGATTCTTGAAGCCATCTCCGGAATATTCTTGGTACGTGGCAGCGTAATTCTTGCGTTCTACCGGCATTGTTAATCCACCTGAATTTCATTGTTTAGGTAAAAGCTTAGACTCAGTGTTTCAGGGTTTACTCTCTTCCGCTGATGGATGTGCTACTTTTGTCATTGGTGGTACCGCTCGCCGGTAGCACTTCTGGACGTATCACACTCACAGCTTCGAACATTTTCCACGCGATAAGGACATTCCCCTCGTTTTCCATTTCCTAAACTTTCTGGACCCACCATTCTTCTCCATCAGTAGTGGTAATCTTTTTCACTTGGCGTCTAACAATCCGGTGACTTGTGCCATTTTGCCGAACAGCTAGAATGCGCCCAGCCTTCTCCAAACTCCACGGGTTTGGTGCGGCATTTTGAGACGAACCCAAAGCAGCATGCCAAATATGCTGCGAACAGTGCTCTGTACCAGACGTTTATATCAGTAAATAGAGTTGCAGAGAGAAACGTCAGTGGATGGCTTTGCTAGACTCACCTTACAATGGAGTCCGAGAGATTTCCAGTGGGTTTGTTGAGGTGTGGGCACCCTGTGGGCCCCGTAAAGCTCAAAGAAAAATAGCGACATGTGAGCACATAACGGAAACCTATATAGGTTTTCCTGGAGGAACGGCCAGTGTTTCAGGGCGCTTTTGACTGTTAAAGCTTTTGAGGTTTTCCGTACTCCTTGATTTACGGTCCTGTGAGTGTATATGGGAAGCTCTGTAGTAGTCCATCAATTTTTCTACAAATAATGGTTTATGACCTCTCCATTTCTATCCTATTTCGTAACCAACAAGATAATGAGACGAGCGCTAGAGGGTGTTCGAACAGTTTCTGACAAAAACCTTGTCCACATGAAATATGTAGAAAGCGGAACAAAGTCGCATGTGTTTTTGGATGAGCCGACCAAGTTCGTCCCATCCTTTGGCCCTATTCTACAAAGGGTAAAGTCGTGGTCCCTGACACAAGTCACCAGTTTAATGTTGTGTTGTTCCGTCACGAAGAGACTGGACCTTACCGTGGTGTGGCGGTTTGTGCACCTCGGCGACCCATTGAGCTATACTGGGGAGTGTCCGCACGATGCTCACAGAGTCTCTCATACCAGGTTGGTCCATGGGTAGAGGTCCGACGAACACAGTCTCCTGGCCGTCCAGGTTGGGGTTGGAACATGTAGGGCGAGGTGTTCCGTAAAATAAAGGTAATGTACTTGCATTTCCAGCCGAACACCGCTGCCTTGCGGTTAGGCTTTTGAGCCAAAGGCTTTGTTTGAGGACCCTAATCAACCTTCTGTCTAGGTGTGGGCGCCCTGGCAGTATCCCAGTCCTCGTACAACCATGGTACGGCAGTGAAGCATCAGTGGGAACACTGATGTTGCTGTCCTTGGTGATGATGATGATGAACATAGAGCTGCCTTCAGCCTCAGGAGTATACGAGTATGTACCTCAATTCAGGGTCATCGCGCCTCTGGTACCGATGATACCCACCTGGTCTGATCAACAACGGCGTTGAATTTCTCAGTTGGTACCTGTCTAACCTGTTTGTGTATATTTAAAAAAGAGACCATTTCAGAGAACTGGGGTGATTCGAAAATACTGCTCATTTTCAAAAATTCAACTGCTTCCGACTCAGACAATTCGACTTTAACATAAATTTGACTACACACCCCTCTAGGCTAACGCGAATGAAAGGTGAAAGCACTCGTGTGACGACTTTTTGGGATCTGTGCGATTTTGTGCTGCTAAAAATTCCGCTAATTTTTGTACCTTTTCCTTCCACATTCTGACATCTCCCATCCTATCTATGTATCTTTTCCACAAGACAAAGCTGCACGAGATTCTGTCACCGTGCTTAAACAATGTCGAGAACAGTTGGTAGTTCTCACCGAACAGCGCTTTACCCAAGCGTTGCAGAAAAATGATGCGACTGCAGTCGAGCGATTCTGCAAATTGTTTCCCCTTATTGGACGGCGAGAGGAAGGTTTACAGCGTTTTGGCGGCTATTTGTGTACCCGTATCACCAAACACTGTGAAGGTTTGATTGGTTTGTCGGAGTTGTCAGACGACCCGAGAACAACGGACCAGGTGAAGCGAACGATGATCTGTCTGGATTTGTTGACGCAAATAGTGGAGTTCATTGCTGAAACGGTTCGAGATAACCAAGTCTACGTGGAGACATATTTCGGTAATTTTTCCTATTCGTTTTAATGCGGTTTTGGTGTGGTCTGTCGGCATAGTACGCATCGATTGAAGTTGAGTTGCGGTTTATCTCGCGAGTTTTTCTCTCAACCTAGCCAGCACTTTCACGAAATTGTAGTTGGAAAATGATGACATCACCATTACACCCTCTGCAGGCTTAAGTGTACCACCCTTTGGGTAGATCTTATTCAGAGCCAGTAAATGGAACGGCTGGTTGGCTTAAACCTTGATATCTGGACTATTGTTCTAGGCGAAACATTAGTGGTTTTCTTGCGGCACATCAGCTGGGGAATATAGACTAGAAATTGAGGTTGAATCTCAATTAAGTGGCCCGTCAACACCAACATAATTCACCAATGAATGTTTGTCACAAAACTGCGTACCATATGGCGTTCGGGTAGGGAATAAAGTGGATGGAGATTATCGGATTAGGCTTACTTGATGAGCTCTCAGCTTTCCTTTTCAAATGCTGACGAAGCATCCTTTCTGACTCAATTATTTTTCAAGTTTTACCTAATCATCATTCTTAATTTACTAGGACGAATTTTGGGAGCACCGAGTCCTGGTTTCACTTGTTACTACCACTCATTACAGCAACTTCCCGGGCTCATTCCACCGTTTTTCTTCTCTTCATCTTCATCTAGGTCCTGGTAACCTCCTGGCAATCGCCACCCCAATTCAGGGTGTGTGCGATGAGTTCATAAACCGGATAATTCGACGTTTTCGGACGCAGTATCGTCTAACTGAATTGTTCCAGATCATCCAGAATTCATCCACATCTATGAGCAGCGGCAAGTCTCAAAGTTTAGCCAGCGCGGGCTCCCAAGAAGGGCTACAATTCGAGAGAGTTCTCTCTCTGGAGCCGATAATTTCTGAAGTAGTCTTACTGAATACTCGCACGGAGCTCTACATGCGTTTTATGCGACGCCACGTTGTTGTAAGTCATCGTTTTTGTGGCGAATCTTTTCATATCTGTCCAGTTTTCCCATCAACTTTTAATTCCTGCCTCGTACTAACCCTGGATTCGACGAATAGCCACCGTATCTTTTTACTCTTCTTTGGCCCTCTCGCCGATTTACGCAAAGTCACTTTCCATCTGTGTGACTTTTCGCTTATTCTCCATACCTTATTAACTGCGGCCCACAGGACGCCCAGTCGGCGGTGGGTTTCACTTCACAACAAATGCGGGCAATCAGTGGGTTGAGGTCAGCTTTTTAGATTTTCCTAAACTACATCATAGTAATATGTTCAAACTTCTCTGAGCCTACATCTTACTAAACCAGTCTTTAAAACGACGTCGGTGTCTGTCCGAACATTTTCCGATGCTGGTCACAGACATTAACCAAAACGAGTGATCCAGGATGTAGATGTTTTGATTAATGTTGAAAAGCATGGTGAAATTCTTTCTTTTGCTGTGACTGTAAAGACTTTTTCCTTCTCGGAATTCGGGCACGTGTTCAAGTAGGTATTTCTGAAGTGCACATCAATAAAGGACTGCAAAAAATGCTAAAAATGGTTAACTATGCACAACTATGAAACGCAAGGACTGAAGTAGCATCAGGTTACTCAAACCGGTACAGGAATAGTCGGTGTTTCCGGTTTAAGCTCGCATTACCATCAAAGGTTCATCTCGAATTCATGGTGATGTTTTAGTTTTCCGACCAATTTCATCCTTAAATGTTGTTCATATCGCTTGACATTAAGAAGTAGTATTGCGGTGCATGATTTGTTGAAATCCATACTACTCAGATGCACCAAACTATTTAAAGGAATAAGTCGCAATTTCGAACATCTTGTGTGGTTCACTGTATTTTAGGAATCCAAACCAGTTGTGTCGTAACTGGGCATATTTGTCCTTTCCCTATCCATTTTGTTGGCTAGTTTCTGTTTTGGCAGATTGGTTTCCTGAGGCATCCTTTCCGTCCATAATCCGTCCTTTTGTGTTGATGATTCACTCCTTTGAATGGGCCTTAGTGGAGGCTCTCGGAAAAGCCATTGAAGTTTCGGTATCAAAGGTAATGGGCACTATCGTCAAGTGATGACAAACACGAGGATCAGCTTCAGTGTTGGCTCCTTTTCTTACAGCGAAATGTTTTAAACGCTTGGTCCTTTTTGGAGGAAACGTATAACTCTCATCTCGGGAAACTACTATTCTACTAGCAGGTTAAAGTGAACGGACAGTCGTGAAGTCAAAGCCATGGGATCCAAACGATGTGCTAAAAATTATCCATTCATATTGCAACGGCTGTTCAATTCTGATGAGTGCGACAGTCGTATGTTTAGCTGCCGCCTATTGAAGAAGTATCTATTTTCATTTTCGAACTCTTTTTGTGTGACAAGCGGACTTGGCAACGGTCAAACAGAGTGTTGGGGATCTTCCTACCTACCTGGTTTGGATCCGTCTGATTCTTTCTGTACGTCGTTAGGAGCCCCACATGGCGAGGCACGTAACGGATCCCGGTGGCGAGCATGCTGTCACTTCCTAGTCTGGTTGCCTACCTGAAATGTGTCTTTCGTATATATGGTGGGCTCGTGTTTAGTGAGCTTCTCAAAGCACGTTTTGTCTCTCCTCCTGATGGCGTCCTACTTTGATATGATGCTCAACTGCGTCAGATGCCTTTATCTCGTTGTTTCAAGATGTAGGTACCATGGTGCTGATAGTTTTCCATACGGGTAGCGTTCATTTCTACTGTTTACCAGGAATTCTTTCTCATCGTTGTATGACGATTAAACACCATTGTTTATTGTTGATGTATCGCGGACTGATGGGCCAATCGGTCTGTACTGTTGCTGGTTCGTCGTTCGAGGCGTCGTGCTTTCCGCTCACACCACTCGATCGCGAACATATTCACCTATTCAGACGTAAAAATTCAGATGCATCCAGCGTGCGCTGGTGGAGTAGTGGTGACCTGCTCGACTTGTATGTCAGATGTGCGGGATTCAGAACCCCGGCACGGCCAAGGATATGCACTGCTGATGAGCTGTAATAACAGTGAAACATGTTCAGTGCTTCTCCCAGAATGACAGGAAGACGATTGTTCAAACGACTGTCATGTGAGTGTGCTTTCTAAAAAATCCCACAACCACCAATACCCAATTGCTGTTGATGACGGCTACACTTCACATATAGCGGTAACGATGAAATAGATTCTTGGACTTGTTTGCACAAGGGGTGTATCGGTTGAGTATTCTGACACGACTGGAACTTTGACATTTTGGAGTCAATTGTGGTACTGCCTTCAGGATGTACCGTGGTTTGTGTGTGCGGCAACGCGCTCTTACAGACACCTGTCTCTTCCTCTGATGTAGATGTGTTCCTGCCTTCTACTTTGTCTGCAAATCAGATGGCTTGAAGTGGGGAGAAACGTGATCATGGAAGAGTCACTACCAGCCTCTAATGCCTGTGGGGTCGAAGTGCTCCCTGGGCCTCCGCTCACAGATTTAGAGTACGCAGACGACATAGCTCTTCTGGGATCTGACCCCGTGGCAATGCAAACAATACTAAATAATCTAAATAATTCTGCCTTGCGGTTTGGTATGCGCTTCACACCTGCAAAGTGTAAAGTGCTACTGCAAGACTGGGTGGGCTCGAACCCTAGCCTCATGCTTGCGGATGAACCGATTGAGGTAGTAGACAAATTCGTTTACCTGGGCAACTGTATCAGTCCCGGTGGTCTGGCGAAAGATGATATTTCCATCCGTATTGGGAAGCTTTTGCGAACCTACGTCACCTGTGGCGTAGGCGTGACATCAGTTTCTCTGTCAAGGGTCGAGTTTACAATGCTGCGGTGCGCTCCATATTACTATATGGATCAGAAACCTGGCCGCTGCGCGCCGAGGACGTCAAAAGACTTTCAGTGTTTGACTACCGATTTCTACGGAGCATTGCCCGAATCTGGTGGGAACACCGGATCAGC